CTTTCGTGAAAGTGCAAGAGAAGACTAAGGTGATTTGCAGTGATGTAAATTGCACAAATGAAAAGCGTCGGCTTCGTAAAGTCTTCGTATGAGTAAAGTCGATCTCGGAAGGTGTTTACTTGAAAGCGTAAGTATAGTGAAAGAAAGATGAGGAGGAGAAGTACTTTGCTATGAAATGATTTGCAGTTAAAGAAGATTGCTCAAAACGAAATGTAAACCAGATTTAGAGTGGTTCAGTCAACGTGACCTATATCCACTTTCGGATTCCTCCTCCGACGAGGTCTCCGGTGCCCACTAAAAGCCATCCTTCAAAGTTTCAGATTTAGCATAACTGATTATCGGTAGTAGCAGCCAACCTTATAAGGACTATTGAGTGTCGATAGACGATCATCCACTCTCGGTGTTATGAGAGGAATATCTCATGTGTTCTTATTTAGACAAATCTCTATCTAGAGTCATTCGGATTGAGAGAGAAAGAGTTCTTCGAGAGAATATGATTAAAGCGAGACTCGAGTAGAAATTATATGGGCCTGACAGTGCCATGCCAGATATATGGTCTTTGGGGTATTAGATAAATAAGGGATAATAGATATATGGTAATTAAGAACAAACATGTCCAATGGATTGGATTTCCCTGTATCGTTTGGAGCTTGTGGCGTAGTGGCCTAGTACATCCACAATCGATGAGTCAAGTGAATTATTATGGAAATAATAATTCACTGAGCTAGAAAGAGTTTTGACAATTATAACTCATGGTCAGCTTGATATTGGGGCTAAAGGGTCACACACATATGGTAGGTGTTGCGACAAGTAAAGGTTCGAATATGAGATATCCGTCAGAGCCCCTATCATATTGGATATCCAATAAGCCTTGAATTATTAGATCCCATGGATGAAATCCAATAAGAGCTACTAAGATATTATTGGGTAGAGATCCACTAAGGCTTAGGTAATTGGATGAAAATCCAGTACCCAATAAGGTAGGATCCATTAGGATTAAGTTAACTAGGGGCTTCTATAAATATGAGGGAATCAAAGGCCCATGGCTAGAGGTTTCTTGGTTCCCACCTCCTAGTCTCCTCTCATCTTCTCCGCCCTCAGATAGTAAGTGTGAAGTTTTGGGTAGCGATTGGAGGAGCGTTGTCACAGCCTTATTATGTGGATCACTACTAGAGAGGAAGACACTTGAACTCCTTTATCCAATCCCATAGATATGTAGGAATTCAAAGATATACGATCTCCCTAAGTAAAACACTATCTTACATATGTATTTAAGTTTTGCGAGTTTTGTGTACCAATCTTCGCATGACGATGAACATATTTTTCAAAAAATTTAGGTTTTTATTTTATTTTCTTCCGCTATGCATGTGATGTCGCTTATAGATTTCATTACATTTACCTCCTTCTAGACCTAGTGACACTATAGTACCTCAACCTGATCCGGCCTGTGTTAGTGACACTCCACTGCTTATACTAATAGTACAACCTTACAATCTCATATCCTCCATACATCTAATGATAATATGCTCTAAGAGTGATATTTTCAAACCACGTCAAGTCCTTGACCTACATGCTATCACATGATCCTCACCTAAGATCATTGAACCCACCATATTTACTCAATCCCAAAAATCTCCGTATTGGTATAAAGCCATGTGTGAAGAATATGATGCCCTCATCCATAACTCAACGTGAAACCTTGTACCCTTTCATCACACATAAAATATCATCGGGTGTAAGTGAGTCTTTCGAATTAAGCGACACCCAGATGGATCCGTTGTCCGATATAAAGTACGTCTAGTTGCTAAAAGGTTTCATCAATGACCTAGTGTTGATTTTACTGAGATATTCAGTCTCATTATTAAACCCATAACAATCCAACTTATCTTGAGTTTGGCCACCATAAAGGCTGATAATTATAATAATTGGATGTTAACAATACCTTTTTACAGGGAACTCTAACTAAAGACATCTTTATGCAGCAACCTCCTAGTTTCATTCATCCTCAATATCCAAGGCATATTTGCAAACTACAAAAAGCTATTTATGGACTTCGTTAGGCTTCAAGAGCCTAGTACACTAAACTTTGCTCATTTTTTACTTCAATTGGCTTTAACAACTCCAAGTCTGATGCCTCATGATTTCTACGATAAGAACATGGAGACACAATATATCTTATGGTGTATGTGAATGACATTATTGTCACAGGAAATAATCCTATAGAGATCCAAGTATTCATCAAGCAATTGGCAGATCGATTCTCCCTTAAAGATCTAATAACTTTGAGCTATTTTTTTGGGAGTGGAAGCAACATATACATCTTCATATCTCTTCCTATCACAAAGAAAATACATTCAAGATTTATTATTAAAAACAAACATACAGGACACAAAAATGGTTACAACTCCCCACTCTACTAGTGAATCACTTAAATTATGTGATGGAAGTTTTGCTACGAAACCTACTCAATACCGACAAGTAGTTGGCTCCTTACAGTACTTAGCTCTCATCCATCCAAACATCTCATTTATGATCAATAAATTATCATAATTTATGTAGCGACCATCTACTACGCATTGGTATGTAATAAAATGAATTATATGATATCTTAAAAGAACCTCAATTATGGTCTCTTTCTCCGCAAACACTCTCTACTTCATCTCCATGCCTTTGTTGATGCTGATTGGGCAGGAAACTTTAATAATAGAACATTCACATCGGGGTACATTGTCTTTCTAGGTGCTAATCCAATCAGTTGGAGTTCTAAGAAGCAAAAGACAGTTGCACGGTCTACAACTGAAGCTGAATATCATAACATCACTATCGCTGCTGCAGAACTCAATTGGGTCACAAATCTGCTCAAGGAACTCAACATCGACTCTACTCTTACTTCTACAATATATTATGATAATGTTTGAACTACCTATCTATGCGATAATCTAATATTTCACTCCTGCATAAAACATATTGTCATCGACTTTCACTTCATGCGAGATCAAGTTATCCGACATCAACTACGTGTTTATCATGTACATACGACTGATCAACTAGCAGACTCACTTACGAAGCTTCTCGCTCATAAACTATTTTCATTGCATCGGTCCAAGATCGACATCCTTAGTAGGAGTACCATCTTGCAAGGGCATGATAGCATATAATATTTCTCCAATTGTATGAAAAAATCTCGCTGCTTTATTGAGGGAAATCCTCCCTCCTAACTTGTATAAATAGGAAGAACATATCAATGAAAAACATCACTTCTATTTTCTATCTTCTATCACTTATGACTAGCACATCACACATAAAATATCATTAGGTGTAAGTGAATCTTTCGAATCAAGCGAAACCTAAATATCCATTGCCGGATATAAAGCATGTATAGTGGCCAAAGGATTTCATCAACGACCAAGTATTAACTTCACAAAAACATTCAGTCTAATTGTTAAACTAACAATAATCTGACTTATCTTAAGTTGGCTATCACAAAAGGTTAGCATATATGATAATTGAATGTTAATAATGCTTTTTTCTTATAGGGGACCCAAATTGAAGATATTTTTATATAATAACCTTCTGGTTTCATCCATCCTCAATATCAAAGATATATTTTTAAATAATAAAAAGTTATTTATTAACTTTGTCAAGCTCCAAGAGCTTAGTACACTGAACTTGGCTCATTTTTAGCATCAACTAACTTCATCAACTCTAAGTCTGACACCTCCTTGTTTCTACGATAACAAAATGGAAGTACAATATATCTACTAATATATGTTGATAGCATTATCATTACAGACAATAATCCTATGGACATCAAAGAATTCCTCAAGTAGTTGGCAAATTAATTCACCATTAAGGATTTAGAAACCTTAAGCTACTTTGGGAGTAGAAGTAGCATGCACATCTTCAAGATTTGTGCTATCTCAAAGAAAGTATATTCAAGATCTGCTATCAAAGATGAACATGCAGAATGCCAAAGAGGTTGTCATTCTAATCTCTACTATTAAATCACTTAAATTATATTATGATTATCCTACTACGGATCCCACATAATACCGATAAGTACTTGACTCTTTATAGTACTTATCTCTCACATGTCCAAACATCTTGGTTGCAGTCAACGAATTATCATAATTCATGCATTGGCCCTTCACTACGCATTCGTCTGCAATAAAATGAGTCTTGCGAAATATCAAAATGACTCTCACATGGTCTTCTTCTTCATAAACACTCGTTACTTTATCTTCGTACCTTTATCGATGCTGATTGGATAGGAAACATTAATGATAAAATGTCTACATTATGATATATTATTTTCCTTGGAGCAAATCCAATCAGTTAAAATTTCATGAAACATAGGACGGTCACAAGGTCCACAACTAGGCCACCAATCTATAGAAACTTGACATCAACTCCATATTTACTCTTACAATATATTGTGACAATGTCGATACCACATACTATCAATCCAATGTTCCATTCACACATAAAATATATTGTCATTGACTTTCACTTCATTAGAGATCAAGTTATCAGATATCAACTATATGTATTTCTCTCGTACATACTACTAATCGACTAATAGACTCTCTCACAAAGTCCTTTACCCATAAAATATTTTTATTACATTAGTCCAAGATTAACATGTTTGACAAAAGCTCAATCTTACGAGGACATGATGAAAGATCATGATAAGTTTAAAATAACTGACTAATTATGACAAAAAAAAATCTCTCCTCTGAATCTATATAAATATTGCACTATTAAGTGAAATTTCATAATTTCTTCGTCGCATCTTATTTTATCAACCACCGCACCAACCACGATCTACTCGATGGCCTACCATGTTTGCTCTCTTCTACCGAGATCCAGCTACAGGCAGGCGTCGCGCTCCTGCTCAAACATGGACTCGGTCGATCGCCCACTCTCAGAAACGAGATCGAAGCTTGTCTCGGTGCCTCACCCGACCTTGAGAACTCTTGCCTGATTAGTCTACCTCATACATGGATGAAGCAGCAGGTGCTTCAAGAACGAAGGAGCCCGACGTGGAGACGAGTGCTGTCGGTAGCGGCGGCTCTTTGCCAGCTTCAGACTTGGTTTCAGCCTCATTCGAGACTATGAACATTTAGCTGATCGAATCAAGCGATGATAGATTTCCAAGGAACTGATAAGAGTATGACTTTTGAGAAAACAATCTAATCTTCTCATCAAATATGTTTTAGTGTTTTTTTGGATCAGACTGCAAGAATTGCTTCGATTGCAACTGTTATTAGGTGTTCATGCAATGGCAGATTAAACTATATGCTTTTATACCTTCTTACTATATCGACTAATATTTATCGATCAGATGTAATATAATATCATATAATAAATAATATAAGACTGTGTTGCTCCTAAAAAAGAAGGCTTAGTCGAGTATTAGTGGGCTGGAATTTTGTTATTGGGCTTAACGGCCTTTGCTAATGGGCGCTTAGTGGAGTTTTAGTGGACTGGAATTTTGTTATTGGGCTTAACGGCCTTTGCTAATGGGCGCTCGGTGGAGTATTAGTGGGCTAATATTTGTTATTTAGCTCAACGGGCTTTGCTAATGGGCGCTTAACGGAGTATTAGTGGGCTAATATTTGTTATTGGGCTTAACGCGGGTTATATAATATGCGTCGCCGCTCTCTTTCTCTCTCTATTCTGCCTTCTTCGTAGGAGGCGGCGGGGATAGGTAGTCTGATCCCATGGGAATTCTCCGAAGGATCGCGGGATTTCTC